AGTTTGGGACGTAAATTTCAGACACTGTAAAGATGTGGGTTATATAATTGGTGTAATTACCAACTGGCTTTTTATTTGGGCGTAGTATGTCGTCCAATTAGAGGACTGTAATTGAGTTGACAATAATTGGCCCATCCATTTTTTATGAAATAAAATACCCGCGGTGGCACACACATCCAGACGAACGGAATTTTTATCCACGTTGGGATGGCGACGGTGAATTCAGTTTCATGTGCCTGTGAAACAGTTGGATTATTCCATAACTAAGCCATGTTTTTGAATATGGCTTAATTAGGGAAATGACACCCTCTGATATGTTTATCATTGTGGTGTTTTGAAATGTTGATAGTGAGTTTTCCTAATTTCGTGAAACTGTTCCAGTGGTGGCTGTTTTTCTAAACGTGCCTATTTTAAGCCTCGTCTAACTTGAGCCCACGTCAACCTTGCCAACGATCTCTCTCGTCATTCACAACGGGGAAGATCGCCGGTGCAGCGAGTCACTGACACGTCAGAGGCACAGAATGCCTTCATCCGTCTGGCAGTGGATAGATGATGACTAATGACGGCCGTCGGTCATATCATCAAGTGCTTCGCATTGGGCAAGCTTAATCAGAATATTTAATTATCCCGGACGAATCCGATGAGCTATAAAGCTCTTTTTCACAGATGTGGCTCAGTGGACAAGTGGCTTGTCCACTAAACCATCAAAACAACATCGTCCTGAGCGACCAAATAAAAAGTTAAAATACATCCCAGAGTGAAATCTTGGAGCGGCTTTCAAAAGCACTGCTGGTGCCCCCGATCGTAGCCTTATTGACTGTTTACTGATGAAAGCTTAGGGCACAAATAATAACCTTGAATGTGCCCAATTCTGTCCGATCTTGGAAGCGAAGCAGGGTTAGGCCCGGTTAGTGCTTGGGCGAGCGACCACCACGCACAAACAGGTGTTATAGGCTGTCGGCCTCTGGCCATGTTGTGGGCAGCGGAAGGAAGTGCATCAAAATCCATTCGGCTGTAAAATGTACTCTGGTCCCCGCTTTCACCAACCCACGCTGACCAACGTGGTGAAGTATGATCAGAACCCCCCCACCTCTCCCCCGAAAAACGACCCACACGGCATGGGGGTGGCTCATGTCCAGCAGTGGATTAGCAAAATTAGTGTGCGCGTTGTCGCTGCTGACGTGGCAATTGAGCCCCATTGCCGCGAACAAGTTGGAAATTCATATTCTTTGGGTCTTTCGGTAAAGTCACGTAGATAGGTTCACAGAAGATTTAAAAAAAATAAACTTCCTGATGGCGAACGCTTGTGTTGCGATCGAAACGTCGTAGTTTTTTGTTCTTTTCTATAAACCTATCTATGTGACTTTACCGAAAGACCCAAAGAATATGAATTCCTGCAGTTACGAAAGCTTTAAGTCAAGATTTAATTTGGAAATTGTTCCTCGGCTACTTTGTCCAGCAGTGGATTGATGATGGCTGATGAGGGCCGTCGATCGTGATGTCATCGAGCGCTTTCCATTGCCACCGGCGCTGCTACCAAAAATATAAAATCGCTCTTGGGATCGCAAACACACGAACACACATGCGCACACCCACGTGTACGTATAGATATATTAAATATATTTCAAGGCGCCACGAAAATAAGGCGTGTGTCATGGCTGAAGAGAGAGAAACAGAGGGGATGATGTTTGCGAGGGCCCTGTTTAAACGTCCGCCAACCTCGCTGCTAATAGCCTCTTGTTGCTGCTATTTGAGGCTCGGAGGGAGCGCATTTGGCTGTAGCTGCTGACCTCATCCCCCGAATCACCGCAGCTGCCTTAGTCACCCCCCCCCCCCGGCACCGCGCTTAGAACGTCTCGGGCTTCTACGCAGAAGCCGCGACATCTGCCAGATCGCTCGCCGCGTACGTCCATCTCGGTTTTTTTAGACGTAAAAACTTAGACCCAGGGCGCGCAAATGGGGTGCCGCCGCCTGGCTGAAGAAGCCCGCTGAACGGACTTTTCTCCTGCAGTGGTTCCGCAATGTCGGCATCCGTTGCCTGACACAAGGTGGTTGACTGTTCGCTACTCGCGTTCCTGAACGGGGGAAATGCCTTCGTCTTTTTTACCCAAGACAACGGTGGCGCGATTAGAATATAGTTGGGAGAGAAGTGCGTGTATATTTTTAGTTTAAACGTGACGGTGCAAAAACGTTAACAGCATGCTGCCGTTTTTTTTTTACCGCTCCTAAACGGACAGCGCCAAGCGCGTGCGCATGAAGCCTGAACTCCGCTTGACCAGCGCTTATCGTGATAGACGAAAATGAGCGGTTGGCAAAGTGTGCAACGCGTTTTTAATTGCGGCAACTTGTGGCAGGACTATCTGTCTGGAATTTCCAAGAGCAGACCCCCCCCCGCACCCCGCACGATTACTTTGAGATTGTGAACAGCGACGGTCGAGTCGGAACAAAACAATTACGACAACGAGCTTATCGCTTTTGCCTGCGACCGCGCACTCCTCCATTTTAATTTCATCATTTAACCCAGTCAAGTAGAAAGCTGGGGAAAAAATTGAAACCTGCTTACAGTGAGGGAAAAAAGTATTTTAGCCCCTGCTGATTTTGTACGTTTGCCCACTGACAAAGAAATGATCAGTCTATAATTTTCATGGTAGGTTAATTTGAACAGTGAGAGACAGAATAACAACAAAAAAAATCCAGAAAAACGCATGTCGAAAATGTTATAAATTGATTTGCATTTTAATGAGGGAAATAAGTATTTGACCCCTCTGCAAAACATGACTTAGTACTTGGTGGCAAAACCCTTGTTGTCAATCACAGAAGTCAGACGTTTCTTGTCGTTGGCCACCAGGTTTGCACACATCTCAGGAGGGATTTTGTCCCATTCCTCTTTGCAGAGCTTCTCCAAGTCATTAAGGTTTCGAGGCTGACGTTTGGCAACTCGAACCTTCAGCTCCCTCCACAGATTTTCTATGGGATTAAGGTCTGGAGACTGGCTAGGCCACTCCAGGACCTTAATGTGCTTCTTCTTGAGCCACTCCTTTGTTGCCTTGACCGTGTGTTTTGGGTCATTGTCATGCTGGAATACCCATCCACGACCCATTTTCAATGCCCTGGCTGAGGGAAGGAGGTTCTCACCCAAGATTTGACGGTACATGGCCCCGTCCATCATCCCTTTGATGCGGTGAAGTTGTCCTGTTCCCTTAGCAGAAAAACACCCCCAAAGCATAATGTTTCCACCTCCATGTTTGACGGTGGGGATGGTGTTCTTGGGGTCATAGGCAGCAAGTTGAGTTGATGTCAAAGAGCTCCATTTTGGTCTCATCTGACCACAACATTTTCACCCAGTTGTCCTCTGAATCATTCAGATGTTCATTGGCAAACTTCAGACTGGCATATATATGTGCTTTCTTGAGCAGGGGGACCTTGCGGGCGCTGCAGGATTTCAGTCCTTCACGGCGTAGTGTGTTATCAATTGTTTTCTTGGTGACTATGGTCCCAGCTGCCTTGAAATCATTGACAACATCCTCCCGTGTAGTTCTGAGCTGATTCCTCACCGTTCTCATGATCATTGCAACTCCACGAGGTGAGATCTTATATGGAGCACCAGACCGAGAGATTGACAGTTCTTTTGTGTTTCTTCCATTTGCGAATAATCGCACCAACTGTTGTCACCTTCTCACCAAGCTGCTTGGCAATGGTCTTGTAGCTCATTCCAGCCTTGTGTAGGTCTACAATCTTGTCCCTGACATCCTTGGAGAGCTCTTTGGTCTTGGCCATGGTGGAGAGTTTGGAATCTGATTGATTGATTGCTTCTGTGGACAGGTGTCTTTTATACAGGTAACAAGCTGAAATTAGGAGCACTCCCTTTGAGAGTGTGATCCTAATCTCAGCTCGTTACTTGTATAAAAGACAGCTGGGAGCCAGAAATCTTTCTGATTGAGAGGGGGTCAAATAGTTATTTCCCTCATTAAAATGCAAATCAATTTATAACATTTTTGACATGCGTTTTTCTGGATTTTGTTGTTATTCTGTCTCTCACTGTTCAAATAAATCTACCATAAAAATTATAGACTGATCATTTATTTGTAAGTGGGCAAACGTACAAAATCAGCAGGGGATCAAATACTTTTTTCCCTCACTGTATGTAATTTCACACATTCGAGACCGTTTATCTCGATTTAACAGGGGGCCCCTGGGTTGAGTTTGACACACCAAAACAACCGATTATCGTGCCGTTAAAAAGGACGTCCCTGCTGAATAACGGCGAAGAAACGAATCGTCGAGTCCGTAGTGACACGTGCCGCAAAACACATCCGCCTTACCCCAAGTCCGTAATCCACACGTAACTTGCAACCAAACTGCCAATGAAATATAAATAGTGAAGGCGTACGAAACCAGGCCATCTGAATTTCTGCTGAAAAATAATATACGAGTCCCTGACGTGCTTTCGGATTGAGTGAGGTATTTCAAGAGTGCTCGCTTAGCTAGGAGTCTATGGATTAATTTTCCCACGATTTGAAGTTACGATTGAATGCTGGGATTCGATTCGAGAATCGAGTCTTTATTGTCTCTTGTTCATGTTCGTGTTTTTCGTTTGTTCCGTCTCATCTTGTATGTTCCGTCTCATTCGTATCGTCCATCTTGCACGTTCTCTCTCGTGTATGCACTCGCTGTATGCTCAAGTCTCGTATGTTCTTTACTGGTTTGTATTGTCCGTCTTGGCAGTCTTTTGTACGTTCCGTATTGTTTCGCGTGGATTGTTTTGTTTTCCATTGCCCTGATGATAACAGTTACTTAAAAAAAAATTGCGCATCCAATAGATTAGCAATTCTCCCGCGCACAATCCGGTAACGTTGTATCGTGAGCCAGAGCACCGATTTTAATTGAATCGCCACTTCCCTGTCGGATGTTTCGTGTTTTCGGAATCGAATGCTCACCTGAGCGCGTGCGTACACGTTGTGTGTCCGCCGCCTGCCCCTCCCCTGTTTTATGCCGGCCAGCCCGCTGTTTGTGACGTGGAAGATCGGACGAGACAAACGCCTGCGTGGTTGCATCGGCACTTTCTCAGCCATGAATCTGCACTCAGGACTCAGGGAATACACCCTAACCAGGTGAGGGGCGTCCTTGCCTGGGCCATCGCCTGTCAAGGGCACGCACCTGCACAAAAACAATCCACGGTGGTGAGAAACCTTCCCGGGCCTCTTAATCCGTCTGTCGGTGTATCTGTCTGTGTTGTCATGGCGACTCGTCAAAATGAACCAACACGAACTCGACTTTGGCTTACGGTTGCGTTCCTCTGATGGGTGACCACCACCATGCACAAACAGGTTGCTATGGGCTGCCGCGGGGCCACGTGGGCAGCAGAGATCAGTGTAGCGAAATCCATTGTTGCACTGTACCTCTATTCCCCGGCGTCTATGCATCCTCACCTTCGCCAAATCGCAGTGAAGCCGGATCCAACACCCCCCCCTCTGCACAACCCACACAGCGTGAAGAGACCATCATCCAGCAGTGGATTGACAGAAGCGCTCCACGTGTCACATGTGTGGCTTTGCTCGACACTGTTGCGTGAAAATGCTACCCTGCGAAATACGCATGTTTCCACGGTTGTAGGCTTGGCTCTCCGATCTGTTTGATCCTTTATTGTCATGGTGGTGAGATGTTAACTACAGGAGGTTGTGGGTTCAATCTCAACCCTGTTGCCTGTATATTTGGAGTTTGTGGTCACGTGGATATTTCTCCGGGTCCCGAGGTCTTTCCCCCCACATTTTAGAAATGTGCGTTTAGAGTATTTGGCTGCTATACATTTGCTTTGTGATAAGCCACTTTGTTGAGCTGTCATTTGTGGCCAGGTCACTTCTGAAAAAGAACTCTGCAGCTCAGTGGGCCTTACCTTTTAGTTTACGGCAACCGAATTTACTTCCTGAAAACGCTCCCAGAACGATGAGCGAAACGTCGGACGTCGTGCCGAGCAGCGGTGTGGCACAACTCGTGAGGACACCGGAGAGGCACAACGGGAGCTCTGTTCTCGTGAAACAGTCCCAGCCCAATATCCGTGACCCCCCCCCCCGCCCCGTGTCTTTTTCTGTAGCTGTAAAATAATTAACGAGTGAATAGGGGGGGAGTAGGCCTCTCCAGTAGCCCTGAAAGTCACATGATACGAGGCTGACACTGCCCCCCCCCCCCCCCGCTGGCTAGATTCGCCCAATTGATAAAAGGGGTTGTCCATTTCTACAATTAGTTTGACAGTTATCGGAGAATGGCTATTGGCTTTTTTAAAAGAGAGCGGTCCGTTTTCAGACCCGGGTTTCGTCACTACCGTGCTTGTTGGCGGGCGGCGTTGGTGTGATTTGCGTTTTTTTAATTAGCTCGCACGCGGCGATATGCGAGGGCGCTTTCCGTTCGATTACCCCCCCCCCCCACATGTAATTACCAAACTTTATTAATAATAGCCTCGCCTAATTCCTCATGGTTAAAAGTGATCAAAGTCAAAAGTGTTTCAGCGTTTCTGCTCAAGCCTAGCAATGGGTAGAGCTAATCTCCAGTGGTGGCGATGGGCCACTTGTGGAGATTTAAAATTCACATGTTGGTGTGTAATTTATGCATTCTCTCAAATTGATTTGTACGCTCTCTGTATATGTATGTGTGTGGTGATTTGAGTGGTGCATGTAAGAATCATTTATATACAGTTTGTGCGAATATGTTAGGTCCACTTATGGGGTGACAAATACATTGACTTGATGCTTCAAATGGGACACAATGTAAATGAGACATTGCAATTAAGAACGAGGAGCTAAACGTAGAACGCCGTGCCGAGACACAATACAAATGAGACATTACAAACTCGACGGACAGCATGAATGAGATGGTACAAAGTAGACACGGTACAATCGAGACGGGCAAAAACAAACGGTACAATACAAACGGGAACGGACGATACAAACTCGATAAAGAATGGGACCGATATAATAACACCAAGACAAAAATAAGTGCTTGCTTGTAATGCATCGATTAAGTATGAATCCTAACAATTCGTCACATTGCTTGCTGGATTGAATTATTCCCGACAAACCTCCGTAAACTTCCCACATTATTTGTAACTCAAGTTAACGGGCCATCTCGGCACATCTCCGATGTGAAGAAAAGAGCACAGATCCCACAGCGCCCACCTTAGAAATGTTGGCCGGACGTTGAGGTTTTTTTCTGCCCCCTCCTCCTCCCGCTTTTAATGAAATTTCAAATTTCCAGTGCAGTCACGTAAAACGCCGTTTAATATTCTGACCGTGTGTTTTTTTATTTTTTACGGCCACATCCGAATTGCACGCGCTGAATGACGCCAATTGTCTCGGTCCGGATCTTGGTCATCGGCCCACCTACGTTTTGAGATTCCGTCCAGGGATGAAACTCGTTAGCGGAGCCAGCTGCTAAGATTCCGCCTTTGTTTGCGTTCATTCAAATCCACGCGACCGACTGCACGAGTTAACGTTGCGCAAAATGGTCAGGACAACAGGCACAACGCCCATTAAAATCTTTTCGCTATAATTTGCAAGCGCAGGGCGTCGTTCGGGGGAGATGACCTCGTAAACACTGCGATTGTGAAACGGGTATTTAAGATGCCACGCTGCTCAGAATGTAAATGTAATTTGCCCCCTTGGGTAATGCCACTTTTTTTAAAAGGTATATATTGTTTTTTTTACGATTGTGGTATCGGTATCCCCGGCACGGAAAAAAAAAACATCCATTCCGAATCCTTGCAGAGCGGTACAACCATTTGTGTGAGAGAACGGCACGTGGAAGTAGACGCCCTGGAACCACTTCTGAGATTCCCCTTTTCCATGCTAGGGCGACTGCAGTTTCCCCTCGCACCCTCGCTGTGTAGAGGTTTTCGTCACGTGACAGTCAAACGTCGGAGCGCACGACAAGTGCAGCGAAACGTCGGCCGTCGTGCCGAACAAGACGCGGTACAACCTGAAAAACACGCTGGATGGCGTGTGTCCCCTCCCCCCCCCCCCCCCCCCCCCCCCCCGTTCGATTCGTCCGTGCGTTTGGATTCAAAGGTTCGTCACACCAGCCTGTGGCAGTGGATCGTAGATAGAGGGTTGCCAGTTCATGAACAAAACGAGGGGTGGAACAAACGTCAGCTGACGGAGGAATACGCTGAAATGGAAGCAGGTGTAGGTGATGCGGTAACACCATTGCTCAGGACGCATTGTAGGGGAGTGGCTTGGGAGGCTTTTATTCAGCAGTGGATTGAGCATGGCTGTTAACAGATTTTGAATGAGCAGAGGAGTGTTGGTAATACAAACAGTGCATGGTGGGGAGGGGTAGGGCGGTGTGTAATTATTGTTAAATGTTTTATTTTCCCATATTTTGTATGGCATCTGTGAACAACACTCCCTGTTGTTTGTAAAATCGGTAAATGCCAGATCATTATTATGATTACTTTGCCCTCTCTTGGCTTATTCACTGTTCCTGTGACGCATCGCCAACGTGGACGCGGTGACGCGAGGTCCGTATGACATTATTGGGTTTCATGTGACACCCACTATGACCACACCGACTCTTGGGGTCTCCACATCACCATCATTATCATCTTTATGATTATTATCATCAACGTCATACACATCATGATCGTCAACACCGCAGTCATTAGGTGTGTAGCGATTTGTAAAATCGTTAATCGGTATCGATCGTGTGAGCTCACGATACGTGTATCGAATAGTGTCACAATTTGTTTTTGATTCTTATATCTTGTATGTCGTGTGTTAGCATAACACCTCGATGACCCACAATGTTGAATTTGTATTAAAAAATATATATTCATTATTGCATCGGATCGCGACTCTACATTGTAACAACACGCCCCCTTAATTGATGTCAGGATTGTCACCGCTGTTATCATCGTCATCATAACCGCCGGTGGCATCGTTTTAATTACCGTCAAACATTATTGCTATAATTTCATCACCGTTGTCATTGTCAATGACATCATACAGCCGTTGTGTGCCACACCAGTAACCTGCCGTGTACTTGGCTACATTTAGATCGAGCTGCCGCAGCCCAGTGAGTTGGTAGTCGAAGTTCACCACGGATCGCGATCTCACGGAAACGCTCCCCGTTCGTAATTCTGTCAGGGCGACCATCCTCGAAAGGATCTTTTTTTTAAAATAATTTCGCTTAAAGCTTTTGTTCACGGCGCAGAGTTGCGTTCGGTTTGGCGCGCGTTTTTTTTAAAGTCGCGCGTCAACCGTGGAGACGCGAGGCTTTAGAATTGGACCGAGAGACCCAAAAAAAAGCGGTGCGCACACGGGAGTCCCATTCGTCATATTGACTGCTGAGAAACGTGAGTGGGCTTGGCCAGGGCTCGTCGCTGGCAGCGACAGTACGGCCTCCTAGCGAGAATAACAAACCGGGTGCCCGTCGCAGGAGGGCAACGCGCCCAAGATCACGACGACCGCGAAGACGGAGTGGTGACATGGGCTCGTGCGCAGATGCAAGATGGGTTGCTGCTCTACGAACCCGGAGATCCGAGTTCGATTCCCACTCACGGCCACCGACACGAGCGACGATTATCTGAACCGGTCCTGGGCTCCCCGAGGTCGAATCGGCCTCAAATGAGTACCTAGAGAGACAAAGGCGGCCATGCGTGGTGCTGGCCAACCCACCCTTTCATGTGCCATGCCAGCCTTCATAGTTGCTCGATAATGGCACTTGCCCCAACAGTCTGATAGGCCTATACAGGGGCTCTTTGTCTTTGTGTGTAACACATATACTCTTCGTGTGTGTATGTGTGCGCACGTCACCTCCACTGTGTGCATCTCTGCTCATTCCCATCCGCTTCACTAATCTCCTCTGCTCGCCCACGGCTACGATCTGCCCGGCGACAGGCAGGAGGCATGGCTGTGATTGGCTGCTTCTCCAATGTGCCGCCGCCTCATTGGTCGCCCACCCCGCACGGGCTGCCCCCCACCCGGTCCTCCTTTCGCTGCTGCTGTCGCTGGGGCTCTGGCCCTCACTCGTGCAGCATCATCAGTTTCGTCAACAGCAGCAGCAGCAGCATCATCATCAGCCGCAATAGCAAAAGCAGTACCATCAGCGGCAGTGGCATCATCAGTAGCATGCTCTTCTTCAGCATAAGTGGTATAATCATCATCGTCATCGGCAACAGTAGTCGTAGCAAAAGCAGAGTGTCAGTATCAGTACCGTGAGCATCATCATCACCAGCGGTAGCAAATGTAACCGTAGCTATCATTACTATCGGCAACAGTAGGAAAAGCAGTACTAATACCATAATCAGCAGGCAGCAGTATGATTATAATTGGCATCGGCAATAATAGCAGATAGAGCAGCAGCGCACCGTCATAATCGGCGGCAGAAGCAGTGAAAAGCGTCGGTGGAATAAAATCGGAGCAGCGATTGAATTTGGCCGGGGTAGAATCAGAAAGGCGTCGTGGGGCGTAGGGTTAACGGTTTGGTCTCTCGGCAGCTCCCAGCACCGAGCCGCGCCACAGATGGCACACGGCGGTGGCGGTGGGGGGGCAGGCGGGCGGCACGCCGCCGGTTGTAATTATAGGGCGGTCGCTCGCCGTTGGGTCGCGTGGGAAGCCGCCTATAAATAATCGACCGGAGGAAAAGCCCTCCCAGCCATAGCCGGGTTTGACGAAAGGAGTTTGTGGGCGGTGGCGGCGTCATTGTGGCGTGTGACGCCGCCATGTTGATGAAAACAGCCGGTTCTCGTTATCGGCCGTGGCCGCTCCGCTGCTGGATGAAGGCCCCCCCCAAGCCGTCGCCCTCCCGCGTGATCCCACGATGCAGAAAATTCCGCCAGCACCTGCGCGCGTCGAGATGTTTATCACATTCCATAATCTCTCTTCCCCAAGGCTGTTTTACATTGATGGTGCTGTTTGTTGCTGGCCGTTTTATATTTTTTGTTGTTGCCCGTCAACTTTGTTAAAAAAAAACGAAAATAAAACCCATGACAGTTAGACCAAAATGTTTACATTTTCATAGCTTATATTTTATAAGTTAAGTGAAAGACCAAATTTAACATCATTGGGTTTTTTTGTGTATGTACAGTCATTGGTGATGAGGCTGAAATCATGAACTCGCTCGCTACACTTGAGAACCTGGATCCGAACCCAGGTTGTCAGCAATGCAGGCTCGGAGATCTGACTCTTGAGCCACCCAGCCACCGCCGTTCAAAAACTTGCCGTCAAAGTCATTTAATTATTAACACGAATAAAGAACTGTCTTTGCTTTTTTTGTTTAATTTGATTGATTTGTAGAACTGTGTGTGGAAATATCGTCGTCATCGTCAGCCATGATCAATCCACTGGCGGATGAAGGCCTCAAGCCGCTGCCACCTCTCCCGATCCTTACTCCTATTGTCCCACTATTTATACAGCTTCTGTTGGATAGACTGTGGAAATCTTAACAGTGGAAACATCGGGTTTTTTTTAGATGCAAGTCCACTTCCATCGCAGGTGGTGTCGCCACCTCGCCAAGCTCATCTGGCCCAGCGTTTGAGGGAATCGGATTACCTCTTGAAAGCAAGAACAATTTTCAGTGAAATTGACGCAGGTTATTTATAAAGTGTCATCGTAGGAGGATGTTTAAAAAATAAAAACAACTGCCAGCGTCCCGTTCTGCACGGCTACCGAACATCGATAGTTAACGCGCCCCCCCCCCCTCTCCCTCCACTCCCTTCCCAAAAACCAGCTGAGCGGCATTTAAAAATAAACGTGAAGGACTATATTCTGCATGGTGGTTTCACGCTCCACCTCTTACGATGCAGCCCTAGGTAAACAGGGGCCCGCCAGAGGATTGGAGAACAAGGAGAGGGGAATTTCTAAAAGCAGCCCCTGCTGCGAACGCAGGCAGTAAAAATAACACAGCTACCAGCTCTTGTGTCCATTGAGCGGGCCTCCATCTTGTCAAGGTGGTGGGGGGGGGGGGTGCGTTTGACCGCACAAAACAAAAAGTGAGCACCTTAAAAAAATATATGGGGTAAAGGCGCAGGCCTGCAATTGTGCTTGTGCAAGCCATCGCCTGCGGAAGGGATCCTCACGAGGAGGAATTCGGGAGAGCTCCTTTGAAAAAGTGTGTGTTTGGCCTACTCCTTCGGTGGCTCACTTACATCGATGATGGGTGTCTGCACCTGTATACAGCAAGCCTCTGTCTATGCCCGCATGTTTCAATTTACGTGTAACGCCGGGTGCCTGCGTGTGCCTGCGTGTGCCTGTGTGTGCCTGGGTGTGCCTGCGTGTGCCTGCGCCCTTCCAGTGCCCTTAAGGACAGTCGCTTTCCAGCCATGACGCGGGAGGAGCTTCCGCGGCTGTTCTGCTCCGTGTCGCTTCTCACCAACTTTGAGGAAGCGGATGACTACCTCGACTGGGAGGTCAGGGTGACTCCCAGCGTACACCAACACGAGCAGCAGCTGCGGCAGCAGCATCACCAGCGTAATCGCCACCATGACTATTACTCACTGCTAGCATTAGCATTATCCACCGCTACCATGAACACTATTATATCAGCATTAACATCACTATTGCGATTAGCGTCACCACCGTCATTACCAACACCATTGTTACTCTTACTTCTGCCACCAACACTAGCACCAATACCACCACCATCGTGTTCACTGTCATCAATTATAATAATTTAGTCAACTTGGTATCCGTGCCATTCTTGCAGATCAGAGCCACCGCTAAAGAAGGTGCAGTGTTTCACAAAGTCTGTAGTAGTTTAACAATAGGGAGTGATATCGTTGTGTATAAACCAAATTGACTAATTTGCGGTGTAATTGTTCAATTTTGGCAAATTTCGGACCTTGACACCCTGGCCGACTCCTTTCGAAGCGGACGGCGCTTTCCCACTACGCCCAACCAGGGCAGCCTGGATTCAAACGGTGAACTTCTGCAACAAGTGGCAAACACACCACTGCTGTGCCATGTCCCCCCCACCCCCAAGGTGGCCCAGGGGTAGCACGTTGTTCTCACGGAACTGCTGTCACATCACCTCCTCCCCCCAACACCACAATCGACAAACAACACCACTGTTGAGACTTGCACGAGCGCCGCTATCACCAGAACAACCACCACCGCAGTTGCCACCAGCTCTTATGTCCACCACCACCAACACGAGGTTTGGAGTGCCACGCATTCGGAAGGTTGCGAGTTCAAATCCTGCTTGGGGGTTATCTCAGCCCATCATCCTTCGATGGTCGGTAACATTTGGTACCACTTTGCGGGAAGTCACCAATGGTTGTCCCATGTATGGACAGACTCGCCCCTGGCATATGAATGTGGAATTTCCACAAATTGCTCAGGCCTGCGAACAGGAGATGAGCCACCGACTTAACGCTCGTGCGAGCGGGAAATCAATTTGACTCCTGTAACTAGCGGAACCGCGACCGTCCCCGCTAGCGCCGAGCCCCGTCGTTACGACCGGCGATGCCGCCGTCGGCGCGACTGGCGCCTCGCTCGTGCCCTCTCCGCGGTCTCCTCGTACTGGACCCCGGGGGGGGCGGGGGAGGGGAGAAGCGCAGTGGGTTACCGGTGGCGGTGGTCTCTCTTTACAGGTGGGCGTGCACGGCATCCGGATAGAGTTCTGCAACGAGAAGGGCGTCAAGCGAACGGCCACCTACCTGCCCGAGGTGGCCAAGGAGCAAGGTAAAGGAGGAGGCAGCACGCAGGCTCGCTCGGCGAGTGTTGACGATGACGAGTTCTCTTGCACGTGCCGTAGCAGTTCTCTGGTCCCACCCCCCCCTGTGCCCCCACTCGCACGATGGGCAACCAACACAATCTTCTTCTTTCGCACGGCTGCTGCTGCAGATGAAGAGCGCGACAACTACAATTTTCATGTTCAGGTGGTCAAGCCCAGATAGCCACGTCAGGAGCAGTGGCGGAGTGTTTCGGCGTGATGTCTCCCTTCGTATTTGTGGATCGAGCCATTGCGTCGTTATACGTTGCACGGTTTGTTCGGGGTGACCGCAGTCCGCACACTGCTGGAGAGTCTTTACCATTACATTTGTGCGTCAGTTGTCCACACCTGCCATGGGCTGTGCGGATGGGGATTTAGGGTAGACTATGAGCTTTCGTGGAAGATCAAACCCAACACAATCATTCTTATATTGCTGCTCGAGGAGGGATGTTTGGTGGTCATCGTGAAGTTGCTCAACCCCTATTGGCCCCACCCACCACTCGTACTGCCGGGCGCACACCCCACCACCACCACCTCCACCCCACCTCCACACCACCTCCACCACCCCCATCCACCTCCACACAACCACCACCACCCCCCTCCACCTCCAAACCACCACCATCCCCCTCCACCTCCACACCACCACCACCCTCCATCTCCACCCTCCCCACCTCCAAATCACCACCACCCCCCTCCACCTCTACACCACCACCACCACCGCCCCATCTCCACACCCCCCCACCATTACCCAAACAAGCTCCAACTTGTATCCGGAGAAATGGGCGGGGCCTAAAGAAGAAGGGGGCGGAGCCCTACAGATGTGGATCTCGCCTCTTTATTTAACGTAATAAATGCGTAGAATCAAATACTGCAGCTGGCAGCAGCAGCATAGCTTTGAGTGCCGCAGACGCCACCATGGGCCGTTGAACAATAATGAGTGACATTTGGTATTTGTGCCACTCCTGATGGGGGCAGGGCTATCTCAGAGGCGCCGTGTTTCGCCCCTGAAGGCACTGCGTTTCACAGAACGTGTGATCCGATGCGTCCGTTCCACCACTGTCGAGTGGTGGGTGTGGAGCAGTTGTAACTCGCGTGCGTGGCTGCAGGATGGGACCAGATTCAGACGATTGATTCGCTGCTACGTAAGGGTGGCTACAAGGCACCCATTTCTACTGACTTCAGGAAGACCATCAAACTGACCAGGTGACTTGTGGAAAGAAGAAAGACAGCTCAGTTCTGTGATTTGGGACGTATATTTCAGAACGCGTGTAACGACTGTGCGATGTTGTTGTGTAAATGGCCAAAATTTATGTTGCTACGAAACTCGCTGAGCTCTTGTTTGCTCGTCGAAAACAGACATGGACTCTTTGCTTTCCTCCCAACACAACAAATGCTCCTTCTCATGATTGGCTTGGCCTAACATGACAGTGCAGGATCGTCCTGAAAATGCGTGCTTGAGACTGTGCTCATGTTAGACACACGCAGACAGATAAAGGTACACACAGACTGACGCACGTACGTACGTATGTATGGCCACACGCAGCCCCAGCCATCTACGGATAAACACGCCAAGCGGTTCATAGGATCACAGCCACACACAGCTGTTCACACACGTACAGGTGGGCTCGGGGGTTGCTGTCATGGTTAGCACGCTGCACTGGAAATCCCACGGGTTGCTGGTTCGATCTCCTGGCACAAAGAGCTGTAAATATTGGGGTTAGTTTCTTAAATCCCCACCGCCCCAAACCCCACCTCTTTTCACCCAGCAGTGTAAACGGGTACACCGTAGCTGATCCGGTAGAGATCTTGTGTGGTGGGGTAAAGTGTGGGTACTCCCAGCTGGCCAGCGTGGAGGAGTAGATCAACACCTTCTCTAGTCGGACTCTAGAACTCCCTCTACAGTGGGGGGAGATCCTTCTGCCAGCGGTGGCATGAGCAAGAAATTACAGGGATTCACCTTTACATGAAACACTTTTGCCGTGCTGCCGCCCCCCCTCCTCCTCCGCAGATACCGCAGTGAGAAGGTAACGGTGAGCTACTCGGACTACCTGTCCTCGCGACACCAGACCGTGCACAACGGCGTCACCTACCCAGCCGGCCCCCACTACGCGCACTACTCCTGACGGCGCGCCCCCCGCGGGCCCCCGCCCCCGCCGCCGCTAGGCCGACCTCGCACCATCCGGGACCAAGTGGCCCCCCGCGGGGGGGGCTCCGCGCGACGCGAGGGCGAGCCCCCCCGGCTGCCCCCCGCGGAACACTCGTGAGGGCGTTCGCGTCCGGAAGGCGGTCGCGCCGGTGGTCCGGTGCGCTCGCCACGGCTCCCACCCCTCCCTCCCTCCCCCCTCCCCCATTACAACCCCTGACCTCGTGGTCAAGCCCAGTTATGTTTTAAAAGCTTTGGCGGTTGTTTGCTCGCGCCAGCATGACCTGGAAAGCGGGGGTTATTACTTTTTTATGTTATTATTATTATGGTTCTTTTAAATGAAATGGCTTTTATGTTACTCCAGAGTAGGCAAGTAACGATTTGGTGGGTTCTCGCAGTTTGGCATCGCTTATCTGATTGAGCAATCGTTTTTTTTTTCTTCCAACTAACAATAGCAGTGATCTATCCACTGCTTTATTTGTACTGCATCTACTGTCCCACCTGTCCCGCTGCCTTGCACGCACACTCTTTTGCTCGCAACGTCCATCTCATTTGTACCGTCTGCCTTGCTTTTTTTTTATCATCTTTGTACTCTCTCGTTCGCCGCGTTGGCCTAAACGTGACGTCGCCGTACAATTTCCGCGCAACGATTTTTCGCAAATCACAAAAGCGAGTGGACTTCTCCCCGCCGCTTGCACGGTTTCCATTCGTGCATCGTGAGCGTAGCGTGTAAGAGAAAAAACTAAAAAATCTTACTTCAACCGACGAACTGACGCATCGTCGTTACGTGCCTACTCGGAAGCCCTCGCTTGGCCCGAACGGGGGGGGGGGGTGGTGGCTGTGAAGAGGGGCGGCGCGGTCGGCGACACAACAATGGCCGCTGTTTAAACAGATAATCCCTCGCGGGATCCGTACTGCGTTCGGGCTACGTGCCGGCGATTGTAAGCCAACCTCTACGCGTCCGTTCCCCCCCCACCCCCCCCCCCCCCCCCCGGATTCCCGTTACGCTTGGAGTTACCTTCGCTCGGCCGATCTCCCATCGCCTCTGCCGCTGGAATTTGCACTACGAGACGAGAGTCGTCCCCTTCTATACTCGTCGCTTTGCCATGTGACCGCTCAATGATGAACATAATATTTAAGGGTAATCGTTGCTGCAAGTTGTCGCTGGCAATAGTTGCCGCGATTTTCAGTTTCCGAAATGCAAATTATTCTGCTCGCTGTGAATCCCCCCCTTGTGTGCATTTGGGACGCATCGTCCAGTTGGACAGCAGACAGAAGTCACATGACTAACCCCGAGGTTTTGTGTGCTCTGTAGACCATTGTTCATGAAAAACACACTTTTAAGAAAAGTTTTTCTTTGGCCAGAGGGAATTCTGTCACTGCGTCCATAGCCCATGACCAAATCGCCCGCAATGCACCCGTCAGATTTTTTAAGCCTGCATGGTACATTGATGAGTGATCACCACGCACAAAGAGGTTGTCATGGGGTTGCTGGCGGAGCTAATGTGGTGGGCAGCAGAGGGCAGTGCAGAAAAATACGTTGTACTGTACTTCTATGCTCCCTACTTTCACCAAATCTCACAGTGACCAGTGCGATGAAGTGTTGTCAGATAACCCACACAAGCTGTGTGGAGAGCCCCCTCATCCAACAGTGGCTGGACAAACGGGGTTGGCACACGTCACCGGTACTTGTGAGGGGGGCCCTGTCAATTGGCCATAGTTGCTCATGGTAAATGTGTTTTGCCGGCGACAGTTGCCGGCAGCGATTGTCTCAAAATTACCATCGTGCATCCTTGACCTTTTCCAGACGTACGGCATCGATCGCGCCGACCTTTTAACCTTAGACAAGCATTACACATTCTAGCTTCACCTTTTTTGTAAAATCTGCAGCAGTAACCAACTTGCAAAGGGGGTGGGTGGGGTAGTGGTGGTGGTGGTGGTGGGGGAGGGCAAGGCTAGTCCAGATGCCCACTACTCGTCTCTTGATCGTTCGCTGTGGACGGAAATTTCACTCGTCGCACTGGGTTCCGAGCGCAGCGTCGCAAACCACTGCACCATTGCACTCCACCCCAGTGAGGGTGTGTGTGTGTGTGCGCACACATATGGCGCGTGTCGATGTATATGCAATAAGTATATACATATCACAGCGTGGGGGGTGGCGGTCATCTCCTGAGCTAGTGGTGACAATTCCACAGTCCTATGGCAGGGAACAAGTCTATTCATGGGATGACCAAAATGCACGTGAAAATCAAAATACACAAATCAATCTGATGCATATATGTCCATGCCTGACCCTCTGCTCACAACCATTCAGAACCACCATCATAGTGGACAGGCCCCGGGTAAAGTCGGAACCATTTCCCTTTTCTCCTTTGAGGTGCGAAATCGATTTGCCGTCTTTGGGTTTTTTTTTTACCACATAGCTGAAGAGCAACGACAACTCGTGGTCAAAAGGAAATCCAGAAAGGTGGAGGAAAGCGACGCACTTTACGATCATCATTGATACGCACCCAGGGAGGGGGGGGGGGCGACGTTTTACTTGCGTGGTGTTTTGTCTGCGGTGGTGGGGGGCCAAGGGAATTCCAAGCCAAGCGGTTGATCTGCATCACTGCACCGTGGCTGCTGTTATTGCTGCTGCTGCTGCTGATATTGCTGCTGTTACGGTTGAATCGAAAACTTTCAAGCCGAAAGTTGAACAATTCCGGATAAATCTCTTTTTATGCCATTTTTACATTTTTTTTCTTCTTTGGAAAAATTATTGAAGCAAGAAATCGAGTTGATGTTAAGGGTTGCGTTCATGTAACCGATTTAAACCATCACGGTGCGATAAACTTTTTTGTAACTTTTATTTTTAAAAGAAGAAAAGAGGCTGGTAAATTTGTGTACCTCTTGTTCAGTGTTAGAGGCAGCCATGGCGCAGTGAGAAGTGCAGACATGTCACGGTAAATCCTCCTCCTGTGTCTCCTCCGTTGGCGGCGGTGGATTTACTTTCTCTCTCTCTGTGGCTTGAACCATCCTCTTGCTGTCGTGTTAGTTTCGCCGAATCGTCGTTTGTGTACTTGTCATACGTAGGCGGCTCGGTCCAGCGATTTTTGTTTGAGATGTTTCCTTCTCCCGTCATCTCGCTCTCTCTGTCCACTCTGTCCGTCATTGCGTTTACATGCTTCGCGGGCCATGAGACATCCTGCCCGGCAACGACGTCTGGCCAATTCGGATGTCACGACGGCCAGACGACCCAAGCCACGACGTCGGGAGAACACTCCCCAACGTACAATCACAACGGGTGACATCGTTCATCCAAAATGTTTCTGTCTCCGATTTCTTTTTACCCCCTTTCCATCTAGGTTGAGTTTTCTTTATGCAGCCACTATAAATAATTGTCCGGAAATAGCATTTTGAAGAACAAGGCTGCCAGTTTATGCACAGATTGTGTTGCAATTACACGTTTACAACAGGGATGCGGGATCTAAACGATGTGTCTATTCAAATCGATTCACGTGCATCGGATCACGCGGGCACGTCAGAATCCATGTTGGTTTTGAGATTCGAATTTACCCTCTGTATGCAAAGGGCTCACGCTCGCCACTGCAGCCCACCGGAGGCGCTGCCGTTTATCGCCACGATGTAAGAAAATCTATTTACGGAATCTATTCTCGTGTTTAAAAAAAAAACACTGACCTGAAATCGTAACGATTCATCGCTTAGCCAGATACCGAGGTGGTGGGGGGGGGGGATGAATAGCTCCACTCCTCGTTGACTAAAGGTAACGTCTTTCCCGAGGGACCCCCCCCCCCCCCCCCAATCAATCCTCTCCTCTTTGTCCCGGGCCGACGCCTTCTCTGCGCCAACTCTCTCTTTGTATCTCACGGTCATCATCGCCCCTCCTGTTCTCTTGAATTGACATCGAGAGAGAGCTGGTCTTTGTTGGTTGCAGCAATAAGGTGTTCAATTGCAAAGGCGAATGCTGCTAAAGAATAAAAAGGGAAACCAGGGCCTTAATAACGTGCCATTTGTAGTCGCGAAGGAACAATTTCTATGAAGTGCTGAATCGCTTAAGAGGCTTTTTTTAATGTTTGCGTTAACCTTTCCGTTCCGTTGGGTTACGCGTTGATTTCATCGGGTTTGAAAGCAATCGAAGCAAAAATGAAGCCAACGTTATCTTTTTGAATCCACACTGGAGCTTTTCTTGATTGTAGATAATTTCAATCCAACGGTGTAATGCACAAAAACGAGCAACACTTGTAAACAGTGGTCAGAACTTAAGTGGCCAGTCAAACAAAATGGGTACCAAATAAAAACAAAACAAACGTGAAGTGAAGCCAATGTACATCTATAACGTCTATGTTTAAAAGGAAAAAGAAAAATCTTGATTTCCCCCCCCCCCCCACCACTTGAAATGCTTTCTGCACCTATCGGGGGTGGGGGCTCTCTCTGAAAGGTCACATGGCGTGTCTGACGTCACGCGCACGTGAACGCCGGAGATTTTGGATTCAAATGAAGCGTCGCGAAATCTGCACGGGGAAGGTGGTGTGGGTCGAGGGATGATGGGCGTAGTGAATTACTCCACGTGGACCTAAGGAGAGCTGCGTCGCTCACGTGTGAGGCTTTAAAACGAGAAGGATAAACTTGAATCGTGTAAAAAAAACTAAAAAAAAATTGGTGCTATTTTGGTTTGAATATGTCACGGGGACTGGCCTTTGGGCTTGTCGCCATTCTTATTTTTTTTCGAACGTACGATACAGATCATGCGGTTTATAAATAACCGCAGTATTCATTGGCGCAAGTGCGAGCGCCCCTTGCCGTGGTGGGGAACACCGCGAGGGGTGCCGAGTTTATTTTTTGCCCGCGGGGCGAAGGGGGGGGGGGGTTGTCGTTGGTGCGAGCAGGGAGGAGGACGAGGAGGATGGGTTTTCCGAGACCGGGTTTTTTTTTTTTCACGAAGCTCCCGAACGAGTTGTTGCTGCTCTCTCGAGGTTTTGGTCATCTCGCCCACGCTCGCGGGCCACCGCTTCCACGTTCGAGCGAACCGCGCGACGCTGCCGCCGCCGCCGCCGCGTTTTTATGTCGAGAGATGTGTCCTCGCGTGCGCGATTCGGAGAAACAAAAAAAACTTTCAACAACGAACGCGCTCGCGACACGCCGAGTTAATGCAACGCTCGCGACGCAAACGTTAATAATTCCGTCGTCTGGAATTTCACCCCAACATAAAACAAAAAAAAAGTTCTGGCTGTAGCCGCTCCACCACGGCGTAAAACCCGGTCTTGTAAACTGCTGCCCCCCCCCCCTACACCACGGTGTAATCGGCGTTCCTCTCGCCATCAACCCCCCCCCCCCCACACCACGGTGTTCGCCCGCTCGGCGATTTGTCGCGTTCAACTAGCCAGGGCTGCCTGGGGCTCCTCGAACTCTCGGGCCCTCTGGTCCACAGAGTGCGGATTGCCGGACTACAAACTTACGTTTGACTCTCGGTCGCAAAAAAAGGAAGGGGAGGGGGGGCCGAGAGCACTGGAGCTTTGCGAGCGACCCCCCCCCCCCCCCGTTTTAGAATTTTACCCGGCGGGGGGGGGCGGCCTCCCCCAGCCCCCCCCCCCCCGTTTGCTTCAACAAAACCAGGCGTGGGAATTTCAAACTGAACTCAAACAAAACCTCCACGGTCGGGACGATCGTAAGTTGGGGGTGGGGGGCCAGGGGGGTGGGACGCCAGGGGGGTGGGAGGCCAGGGGGGTGGGGGGGGCAAGTGAGAGTTGGGAAGGGGGGGGGGTGAGCTGCATCTCGGAAGCCGCGACTGGAAGGAAAAGCGTGCGCAGTGCAATTTGAAAACCCACCGGAGCAGCAGCAGCAGCAGCCTCCTCTACACTTTACCGGAGCAGACACCGGCCGTACCACCCGAGTTTTCCCCCTCTGTGGCTGCGCTCGTTTTACTCTTGAAACGCGTGTGTGCACTATGTATGTGTACGTATGTACATATATGTACGAGTATATATACTGTATACGATATCGCAGTGTATATATGTATACAGTATATGTTATTTTTTACTATATGTAATATGTATATACGGTATCTCGTACGTGTATGTGTGTATGTGTGTACCGCGTAGAAACGTATATAACATCCGTATAAAATTATACGTGCGTCATTCTGCATGCGTAATTATACATGGTATGCACATATATGCAGTGTGCGCGGTATATACGTACGTGCATATGTGTACTGTTGTGATATACGATATAAGATATGTATATACGGTATGTATATATGCGTATATATACGAAAAGTGAACATCCTTTCACTTGTACATTTTGAGAGAGGCGGGTAAAAATGCACTCTGTGTCGTCGTCCGTGCGCGACAGAAAACCCGCGCTGGCGACCTTCACTTTTACAACGAAGACGACGTTCGGTGGTCGCGGCTCGCTTGCCCGTTGCCGCTGGCCGCCACCGCCACCCACCGCTCGCTCGCTCCTGTACCCGCGCGCGTGAATATCTCGCGCGTACCCACGCCGGACTGGGTGGGAGCCGTGGCCGAGATCTCGACTCGCGGCCCCCCCCTCCCCCCCCCTTAACCACGTCGCGAAAGTTATTGTTTTGTAAGCGCGACGCCAGGGCTGGACAACCGCGACTCCCACGGAGATTCGGCGTGCGTCTCCGCTCGTGTCCCACCTCCCACCACCCCCCCCCCCACGTTGTTCCAGCTGCAGGTGTGGAAGTGTCTCCATGCTCGAGCGAGATTTTTTATTGCATTTGTACCGATGGAGCGGTGGAGATTCCACATTTCCTACGGCCAGGGATGCGTTGGACTATATAATTGAGCGGGGGTTTTCTGCCGACAGGTCTTCTTCAGGAAGATAAATCAAAATCCGTTCTTTTAAATGTACTTGTTACTTAACGTGTAACTTCACTGACGCGGCAGCATCTTAACTCGCAAATACAACCGGTTTTTTTTACGTTCACCAAATTGACTATCATTTTATCGACCGCCAAAAGAATAACGAGTGGCGTATTTCCCCGTCCCAATTGTGGGCCAGACGCTGGATTTTGCTCTGCTGCAAAGCCGCTGCGACCAGATTGAGTGATGCCCAGTGCCCTGCGTGGCGACCGCCCCCCCCCCCCCCCGGGTGTGGCGTCCCGGTCGCACCCGCGTGGAGAAGCGAAACGCCGCGGCAGACTCGGCGACAAACTGCACGCGGTACGACCCGAAAGCACACGCGGAGGAGGGGGGGGGGGGGTGAGGAGCCGTCCAGCGCGATTGCGGAACGCTCATTTCACGGTGAGCGTGCGGTTTCCCGCAGGCGAAAACGTGTGCCGCCGATTTTAGACGCGTGATGGGTCCGCTCTCCAGTCGCTGCGAGCGCGTTGAAATGATCCCGCGGAGTAATTTTTTTGTTTGCAAGCGAAGGCCGGTTAAACCCTCACCGGAGCACTTGAAAAAAGGCCAACACAAACGCAATGGTTGTCCGCTCCATGACGGCACGTGCACGACCGTCGTCCAAATCATCAAAACGCGACGGTCGTGGCTTTTGTCAAGGGCCGCGATAGAAGTCGTGAAAGCAAGCGTGGCCTCCTCGTGTGTGGTGGTTGCATGACGACGCCGATGCTTCTTACGTCGCCGCCGCAACCCGCCGCTCGTCGCCCTTAACCGACAACAAAATGCGAGGTGGAGATTGTTTACCTGCTCGGACTGGAGGTGGCCCCAATCACTTGGCCCGCGCGCGTGCGCGCGCGTCTTAAAATCAAATCGTGAGCATGAGGCGACTTGTCGTGAAGGCATCGTGTGTTTCCCGGGCGTGGCCTGCGGTTGTTTTCGCAGGAGGCAGGCGAGGATCGCGATGCGTCCTCCCAGTTTGACGAATTTGCGGGCGAAATGTAAAAATCTGGCAGACGTGGACCGTGACGCCGGCACGCGCGCGTGGCTTGCTCGTTTTTTTCGGAATAGCGTCGACGGGATTCGTCTTTCACGTTCGCCATGAGGCAGACGGGCGGCGCGCGCGCGGTGTTAACTAGGGCGGCCGCTGGGCCCGGACCGCGAGCTGCCACGACGAGCAGCAAAACCAGCCACGACCGCTCGGCCTTGCCACGAGCCCAAGGCCCCCAGCATACACGGGGAGAGAGAGAGACGTGTTCTCTCGGCGGTGCGTTCCTTGGGACAACTTCGCCAGGAGACATTTTCGGGAAACTCTTCCAAGGAGCAAACGGCGTGGTCACGTGATGGACGCCGCCTCGTAACTCTCTCACCCGATTGGCCAGAGAGGTTCAAATGTCCCTTGGAAAATGTTTCTCAAAGTGGCACCCAGGTCTCCCCGGGGCAACGTCGCCCCGTGCCTGCAAAACGCGGAGACAAACCAGCACACGAGAGGAGTTTTGTCCGACAACATGTGTTCCCCGTGTATGTCCACCGTCCGGCGCTCTTTTCCAATCCACTGCTGGATGAAGGCCTGCCCACGCCGCGTGTGATTATTTGACCATACGTCCCCACGCTGGTCTGTGTGGGTTGGTGATGGCCGGGGGGGGTGGGGGGGAGCATAACAGTGCAGTTACAACAACAACGGTTTTTTTGTCTGCACTACCCTCTGCTGCCCACCACACAGCCCCGCCAGCAACCCCACGACATGTTAGTGCGTGGCGGTCACCCATCCAGGCTGAACCCCTCCCGGTTGATGCGGCCGTCAGTGTACGCTGGGAATTTAAACTGACCGGGCGAGTGGCGAGCGCCGCTCGGCGGGGAGAGACGCAGGTTTCGGAACGTGCCGGTGACCAGGAAAATATTTCCACTTCTGGCGCACCACATCCGAGGTTAGTACCTTTTGTAGATGGTCACGGGCCCACCTCCTACTGCCGCCGAGTCTCGACCAGCGCCACCAAGAAAACTTGCGGTGAGAAATCGCCCCTGACCGGGGCGGGGAAGAGGTCAAGTTAGGGGGTGGGGGAGTCGTGGCGAGTCCCTGGTGTGGTCGTCGTGGTTTGCACTGCAGCAGCGTTGCGTCGTGGCCGCTCGGGTTTGAAGGCCCCCGAGCTTCCTCGTCGTCGTCCGCGTCGTGATGTCCGTTCTTTTCTTTCGCTCTCTCCCCCCCCACCCACGTCCGTGTGTCCTGCGCATCGCTCCGGCTGTGGATTCGTGACCGAGTGGGGGGGGGGGCCTGTGTCGCCAGGTCGAGGGGTGGGGGAGAGCGCGACAACATTTCTCATCCCACGCGACAAAAGCGTAACCTCGATTATATTCGCAGAATGTACCCCGGTTTAATACACTGGGGTTGTAAATTCAATTTGACCTTTCGTGGCAAAAAAACAAACAAACACTTCTGGTTGATGTTCAGTCGGTTTTGATTAATATACTGAGCCAGCCTTTAAAACGGTGA